TTTTAGGATTGCGAACCAGAGCTCGGGCAATTGCTATTCTTTGCTTCTGGCCTCCGCTCAGCTGTGCCCCTCTTTCTCCAACCACGGTTTCAAACTTCTACAAGACAACCACACACGTTTGAACAACAGTCAGTGGCACGGTCCTTTCACCACGGAAAGGCAATGTAAGGAAAGGGCACATCTCCCTTAGTAGCCCCTGTATGTCAAAACTAACATTCTTCTCAAAAGTTATGAGGAAGCTCTGCATAGCTCTGCATATTGACAGCTCTGGGAACAGCTTCCTCGGCTAAGGAGAATCCCTCCTAAGGAACTTTAGGTGTGAGTAGGTTGAAGGGAAGTTATTTCAGCAGGACAGCGGCTTGCTTACCTTGGGTAGCTTCATGATGAAATCGTAAGCGTTAGCTTCCTTGGTAGCTTTCTCAATTTCTTCCATGGTGACATCCTCTCGGCCATAGCGAATATTTTCTGCAATGGTAGTAGCAAAGAGCACGGGCTCCTGATTCACCACACCAATAATCTCCCGCAGATATCTTACATTTAGGGTCTTAATATCCTGCCCATCAATGGTAATCTAAAGAAAGGAAGTGGACACAACCCATTTACTAAACGTTCTGGTCAAGGACTCTCTCTCCCCAGGCTGGCACATGGCTTTTGATGGGAGACTTGACCGTGTCATTTGATCAACGGCAACGAGACCAGAAGCTGACTTTGAACAACTGACACACAGAGCAGTCATCTGGCTTGAGGTATCTTACCGTGCCTTCCTTGGGATCATAAAATCTCTGGATGAGCTGAACAGTTGTACTTTTCCCACAGCCACTGCCACCAACCAGGGCTACTGTCTGGCCACAGTTGACCTTGAGATTCAAGCCTTTCAGTATCTGTGTGCATAAGAAAGTTTGACCAAAGTATAGCAGCATGTAAAAATGTCAGCATAAATTTGCAGAAACTCTAAAGACTACAGTAAAATATCCTTCATGTTTACAGAATAGCCTTGTACATTTGTCAGTTTAAGTCAGGTTTTATTGCACTGATACATCAATATATTTGTTATATCTTTGTGTACGTAGTAGTACCCCTATATATCAAGTCATTACCCTTCCTAGAACATTTATCATAAAAGCTAGTAGAGGAATTACAATATAGGGCACTTGGGTGAACACAGGGTTATTATTTTGTTTTCCTGTCAGCTTTTGTATCTTCCATGAAATTTCTGTATTATAACTCATTTCAAGTAAATAAAAACTAAAATAAAAAAATGCTCTACCTACATACATGAAAGAACAGCACATTGATGATATAGCTAGGTATTACCCCAATATATATCGTTACTATGGGTATGGCCAAACACCATAATTATAATTTAAGAATTCTGTAATTCTTATTTTGGCACGACATTGCTGTTCTATTAGTGCCAGCAACGCCGATAAAACCCTTATATGTCTGCAGTCATAACGTTTGCTGCACAGTGGTGATTCTTCAGTTTTGAATACGTTCACATGGTGTTTAAAATAACAGCAGCTCCCACCAACAGAATTCTTAACTTTCCTATTATCAAGAGATTGGAACTAGTATTGAAAAGTTAAATAATTTCGTAAAATATCTCTGAAGTAGGTAATGCCATAGGGTTAAAATATTGATTATCAGAAATTCTGGGAAATTTTCTAAGAGACCGCTAGGTAAGAAAGGGGGAAAACTGCATTTGAAGTTGTGGAAGGAGTGGCTTGTAGTTTGTGGAGTTTCACTGTACTGTGAAGAGATTGTTCCTTCTGCTCCTCTCTTCAAAATGCAGCATTTCACACCAATTGCAGAAGTGACGGTCTGCTTTCCATGCAGATGTACTCACTCAGAAAGGTGGCAAAAGCACCAACAATCACTGAAGCTATAGAGGGAAAGAAAAGTTCTTTCCCTCTTACATTGCTGTTGGCCTATGGTAGCTTTTCTTTGTAGCTTTCTGTAGAAGTTCAAGAGTCAGAGAGACATCTATAAACCCCTGTGTAATGGGGAACTTCTGTCTTGGATATTTCTTTTTCAGTTACCAATGAAAAAGAACTTATAGTTTTGTATTCACATATTTGCATAGCCCTTCATATTATTTCACACAGAAGTAATCCAGTAGGAAGCTCTCAGGAGGAAGTTCCTAATTTAAAAGAAGAGGGAGAGTTGAAATTCTATTAATTTTGAACTAAAACGCCTCTGTGACAAGAAGAAGTCTGGCAATGTCATTGCACACAAAGATTTGCTCAGTGTCTTGGGCAAGTTTTGAAGCCCCTTTTGGTGAAGGGTTCCTGCAGCTATCTACTGGGATAAATTCTTACCCATCGATATCACACACATCTGCACAAGTTTAGGAATGCAGAGTGAGGTCTGTTAGGCACTATACTCTTAGACCCTACTATAGTCAGTAGGTTGTATGCAACAGTGTTTTCAATAATGCAGTATGTTTCCTTGCATCTTCTGGTTTGTTCATCATTCTCATTTTCCTTTGTTGTGCAATGTCCTTCACCCTTCATCCCCACGATTAAAGGTCTAAAAAGGTGACCTCTGTAATAGATAGAGGAAGAAGTAAAAAACCCATCCCTTCTCTAATACTAGATTGCTATTCTCATGGAATTCTGTATCAAAATGTTTGTCTTCACTGTCTTTGTATTGATTCTAATGGCAACTAATATAAGTACCAAATGATTTCAATTATCTCTTCAGTAATTTGCAAGCTGCAATATTTTTTGTTTCTTTCAAAGCTGCCTAAGGAAGCCCTATTCTCTGTCTTCACAGTCTGCCTGAACAAGATGGGAACAAATCCCTTTTTAGAGATCAGTGAAAATAGACTTCCTTCACACTGGAATAGACTTATTTTCCAAGACATTCTTAATAAATGTATTTTCAGAAATTGTTCAGGCCTCTTCTATCCACAGTTAATTGCATCAAGACATACCTTAGTGAAAGCTCTCAAACAAAACTCTCTGGTGGAGCAGTTTTTGCATTGTAAATGCAAGAAAATAAGTGTTAGATCTGCTGCCAATTTCTCAGATAAATACTTCTAACAGACTTACAGTGTGAACAATCTGGAAGATCAGTATACCATTATTACATTTTTACTGCATTAAACTAAGCATCAGTATGATGAGTGTTTTTCATCGTATTTATGAATTATATTTATTATTATAGTTTCGAATTATTAGGGCATCCAAGCTTTAGTGCAAGTTTCATATAGCCATGATTTATTTATTTATAAAACAAACAAACAAGAAAAGGTGCTCTTAATTAAGTTAACTAAACTGTTCTGGCTAAAACAGATATTGGTTCTAGATAAGAATTTTCATTATTTCTGGGAGTCTTATTTTCTTAATTATAACAACTGGTTTTCCCTGAGACAATCAGGTTATCGTAAGTGGAATCTGAATCACATCCATGTGTAATACCTGAATATCTGGCCTAGCAGGATAATTGAAGTAAACATTTTTGAATTCCACAGTCCCCTTAACATGGTCCGGTTTATAGCCAGCATTGGATGAACTGTCAATTTGAGGTTCCTGTGCAGAATAACAGGGCAAGAAAAGGGAAAACAACAAAAACATTGTTTAGATTTCTAATGACATTTTAGCATGATGCAGGGCTGTGAAATCTTTGATGTCAATGTTACCATACAACAAGGCATACATAGCAAGCCTCATTACAAAGCAGCAGAGCAAAAATAACTACTTAACAAATGCAAGAAGCTGCCAGTGCAGGTCTTTGGCTAATCTGTCTGCTCTACTCTGTGCACATGTGGCCTCACCTTGACTACTGCATGCAGTTGGGCGCTACAATATATGGAGGACATAAAACTATTAAAGTGTCCAAAGGAGGGCTATAAAGATGGTGAAGGGTTTGGAGGGGAAGGAGCAGCTGAACATACGAGGAGCAGCTGAAGTCTCTTGGTTTGTTTAGCCCAGAGAGGAGGGGACTGAGAGGAGGCCTCATGGTGGCCTGCAGCTCCCTCATGAGGGGAGCAGAGGGACAAGCGCTGAGCTCTGCTCTCTGGGGACAGCGACAGGACCCAAGGGAACGGCATGGAGCTGGGACAGGGGAGGGTCAGGCTGGGGTTAGGGAAAGGTTCTGCACCCAGAGGGTGGTTGGGCACTGGGACGGGATCCCCAGGGCAGTGGTCACAGCACCAAGCCTGCCAGAATTCAAGAAGCATTTGGACAACACTCTCAGATATATGGTTTGGTTTCTGGGTGGTCCGGTGTGGAGTCAGGAGTTGGACTTGATGATCCTCGTGGGACCCTTCCAACTCAGGATATTCTGTGATTCTAGGAGATAGTAGCTGTAGCAGTATTAAAATGGATAGGGAACTAGGTTTTTATGCGTTTAATTTTATTGCAGCACAGAACAGTTCAGAATCAGGCGTATGCCTGCACTAATATGCAAAGGCATAGATGCAATTTATATTGACAACAGAGGACTAATTTTAAAATAGCATTGCTGTCACTATGATACTCTAACATCAAAATGAGTGTAGCCCCTGGCAGCCGTTGAAGTCTGTAACAGACATCCGGTAACTAACTCTTACAGTTCAAATTAATCCTTTTCAGTCAGGGTGCCCTTGTCACTGTTATCTCAGTTAGTTACTTGAGTTAGCATGGATATAATTTACTTTTCTTCTTTAACTTGGTTTTCTGAACTACCAGGTTAAAAAAAATAACAGGCAGAAATTTACATCTTGGACATTTAAAGGTTCACATTTAGATGCTTGTCCTGCATCTAAGACTGTTAATGTAGAATTTTTAAATGTTAAGATATTGCATCCACAATTGTTTGGGATTGATAATTTTGTATTCAGAAAAGAATTCAGATGTTCAATATTTTCAAATGACAGCCATGGCAAAGATACTCACATTGTCTATAATACTGAAGATTGCATAGGCAGCTCCTCTTGCATTGGCAAATGCCTCCATGCTTGGTGCACTAGATCCAACCCCAAAAGCTCCAAGTAATATAGAAAAAAAGACCTAACAACAAAACAAAACATACAAAACAAACAAACAAACACATAATACACAGATGGAATTCTTTTAGATAGCTTCATTTATCTGAGAATATTTGCTATCCTTCCTTCAAGTAGATTCATGCAATATGAAGTCTGAAATCAAAACTGCAATTAAAAAAGTGGTAATCATTTAAACAAAATGTAAACATTTATAGGAAAAAAAGGATTTTCAAGGTCACTCTAAAATTTTCACAACTGGCCCATAAAGAGACTGTTGTGAGTTTCTGATGGCTGGGGTTCTTCCTGAGAGTGACAATAAGATGTTTCCAATTCCACCTGAGGAAAAACTGGCCAACAATTACTTCTATGGTTAAACACACACTCAAAAAATCTTTCTACCTTCATATGACATAAAAACAAAGGTAATCTAACCCAAAAGTTAAAGACATAGTATTCCACTCCAATGTACTACCAGCAAGAATAGAACCAAAGATCTGAGGAAACTGGAGATTTCTTCACGTGAAACTAAAATTGTTTGCCACATCAAAAGCAGACTCTAATTTTTCAGCCTTGGGCTTGACATTTTGTTTCTCTGAACACATGCAACTGTACCGCTCATTTCAGATGTTGGGAATAAATGCCCATTCACATTTTATCTTAATAAGATCTAAGTATTAAGCAAACCTTGCATTACAGTGGGAGTTGCTAGTGACCCAGAGGAAGTGACAGTGAGCATGGATTTCTGCAAGGACCAGCAACAACCCTTTCTCTTCAGTCAGGTACTACTTACATTAAAACAAAGCTCTTTTCCAACTGTTTTCTGCAGGATATTGGTAGTATAAACTCACCTGCCTGACTTTGCCCTGAGGTGGGCAAAACAAATTTGCACACTCCGTCACAAGTGAAAACAATTAAATGAGCTGCTCCTCTTATGTTTAAGCACATGGCACCTGACTGTAGTGGAGTGGATGGCTTCAAGAGATGCTGACACAGCACAGATGTAAACTTGTTAGCAGGAAGGTGGTGACTGGGATTACAACTCCAACCACATTATCATATTCCAAGCTTTCCAACAGAAGATCCTCCTTGACACCAGTGAAGATAACGACTTCAGGTCAGCCAACTGGGACCAAGATAGCATTTAATTTGTTATAAAACAAATTGTACCTGAAGCCTGGTCTATGTCTCCTGATTGGAACCTCCTGGCATAGACTCTGGCTACTAGAAATCAAACCTCAATCCCCTAGCAAAGACCCAGTGGGACTGAATACAAAAATGACAACTTCTAATTATTATTGATCCAAGCTGGCTTTTAACAAGGGACTTTCATGTGAGCGGTATTTATGTTGCTACCTAATTTACAGAAATAATCCATGATATGCAAAGCTGTATATATATATTTTTTTTAATTTTATTTTGTTAACAGTGCTGAGAAAGTGAAAAACGCAGTTTGGAAACTAACTTCAGCCTGACTCAAAATTTAAATAAGATTACACAGAATCAGCTCAATGCTCTTCATAAACCTTGTTCAGCTACTGGTGAATACTTACGGTAAAGACATTTCCGATTGTATAGTCATCAGAGAGTATCAAAGTGGTTCCATACCAGAAAGCCAATGCATATGATGCATATATCAGAAAGAAAGCAACGCCTATGGAAATATTGGCTGAAATAACTTTTTTGATACCGATGCGTTTGGCTTCTTCTAAATCTTTTTGGTATCTAAAAGAAAAGGCATAAAAAACAGACCATACAGGAAATTACTCTTCTTTATTTTTCTATGTATATTCATAAATTCTTCAAAGTAAATGTCCAAGTTATGCAAAATATTTTAGTAATCAAATCCTAAGAAAGACCTTGCTGTGAGTAGAGGAAAATGTATTGACTGTCCTTCATGTTGTGACAGATTGAGTTGATCTGCTCAGCCTGGACCACGTCCTGGATGACTGTAAAATGCTGTGGCAAAATGCTAAGCATCTGTAAACCTGTGATTTCTGGAATATTCCAAAGGCCAGCAAATATTTCTGATATTACAAGGAATATTGTTGCATAAGTGTTGCAGTAAAGAAAGGAGAACTATATCTTACAGAATTAGATACATGATGTTGGGGATAAAGGTAAGAGAAGCAAATGAACTGTACTTTCATTAAATAAATGACAACAAAATTTAAAGAATGGAGATGATCAGTGAAATGGAAAACCTATATTGTATAGGAAAATCAAAATAACTTTAATGGCCTAGCAAAATGACACCTGAGAGAGTTCAAGATTTATTTCTATTATTAATACAGGAGAGTTAACCCATGGGAAGGAACAACTAAAGCAAAAGTGCAGTGCTGGTACAGGAACAAACTAATAGATAGGAATTATGTGTACACTTTGATGGAAAGGGATGTTCAGCCTTCAAACAGTCAGGTAGGCAGAGAAGCTATTCTACTGCTGCAACAGAGTTAAGAAGACTGCTTGGTTTTAAGATGGACCTTTTATGCTTATTCGCAGGGGGAAGAGATAATACATTTGTTTACTACAGTAGCAGGCCCTGGTCTCTGTAACTTAGAAGGTCTTATTTCTGGAAAGACGTACATCACATTTGGTGCACCTCAATATTGTAGGTGTCTGCCAAATGCTACAGTTACTAGAAATGAGCTTTTTTTTAAATCATTGGTATGCTATGTATAAGATTTCCAGAACATGGAAAGGCTTACCCTTCTCTCTCTCTAAAAGTTGTAGAAGCACTAGGAGAGGACACAGAGCATCATCCATTTGTTATTTTTTTCTGATTCTCTGTATTCCTTTATTGTTGGTTTCTTGTTTGTTTTAGCAGCCACTAGCCCAGGATGAGATGGGCTTAGGAGATGCAGAATCTCAAGTACAAGATGGGTGAGTGTGATAGAATTAATTTCCAATTTATAAAGATCTTTCTCACTGTTATAGGGTAGAATATTTTGCATTCATTAAGCATGTCACCATTATAATCTCCAGTCTACTGTTACACTGATGGGAAAAAAATGTGATATATATATCAGGATGCATAGCAGAAAAGTGTCTGACAGTGTTTTAAGGATGAGCATGAAAAAGAGTTGATGAGAGCTACAAGGGTGATAAACAGCACTGGGTAACCAAAGAAAGATGCTGCGGTGAACTGGGAAGCAAGGCATAGATGCCCAAAGAGCTTCCTTTAGCTGCCTGACTGTGAAACAGTGGTGGCTGGAACATAAAGGAGAAGCAAGGGATGGTGTGTTTTCTTTGAATGATACAAACGTTACTGAACTTTGAATCTGAAAACTCCTGCCAGCTTTTGTGGTCATGATGATTAACTTTAGATAAAAGATCAAAAAGATGGCAAGAATGATGTTCTGTGGCCCAATATAAATAAATACATAACCTTTGTGTTATACTTGTCTTTTCTTGCCACATGCCTGATTTTTTTATTTTTTTTTGCTTTCAATTTTCACTAGGTATATGAAGCCTGAAATACGACATACTTTTTGGGAAGAGAGTGCATGCATCTCTGTGTATCTGATGATGCTTTATGAAACTAATGAAAAATGAAAAAATAAAATTCAGCAGCAAAGACAAAAAATAAAAATCTCTTCAGTCACTATTATAAAAACAGCCAACAAATGGAAACTTTTTTCTCACCTTTCAGTTTCTTTCCTCTGTCCTCCAAATGCTACCACAGTTTGAATTGCTGCCAGAACTTCCTCTGCAACAGCTCCTGCTTTTGCATATGCAGTCAGTTCTTTGTTAGTGAATGCAGAAATTATCTGTGTGGAAGAAAAATCATTTAACTTTCCTGTTCAAACAAAAACAGAACCAGCACAATCACTATACTGATTTATTTGAATACCTTTTTTTTTTTTTTTTTTTTTTAAACTGAATTTCCTATCTACTTTTTATATTTTTAAAGACTTATAGAAGATTACACATTTTAAATAGAGTTGTGATTTTCATCTTAAGTCTAAGGGCAAGGCTGCCCAGTGTCACTGTAATTCAAGAGCCAGATGAGACTTAACACCCTAATACCTCTTTGAAGGTCCTAGCCAAAGGCAATTACAGTTCTATAGATGGAAGTCTATTTCTCTCTCAGAATGGTCTGAGTTTACATCTCACGTGCCATTTTCAGTTGTTGTAAGTTGAGCAAGTGGCAAAGAGATCTGGAGCAGAGGTCATGGTCTGCTGGCTGCCTGACAATGTCTTCTCATGCCCATATTCTAACCCCAGAGGCAATGACCTCCTCACCTTGGGGTCAGAGCCTACAGACAGCCGTTACCCCAGGAAATCTGACTACTGCAGGCTCATTCCAGAACGTACCTGAGATGACCTCAGCTGTGCAATCTTACCTCATTTGTGTATTTATTGATCTTTACTGACACTATTTGGATATTTTGGTGAAGTAGTCATGAAGACCAAGTGAAGAAGGCAAAGATACTGCTTATTTACCCTTTCATATGAGGGCATACTTAAACAAAGTTTACAGTAGTATAGCAGTACCCATGGAGGAAGCAATGTACTTTTTCAACTACACCAGTGCCACGAGACACAACTTTCTGCATGTAGGCAAGGTCAAAGTTCACTAAGACCCAGATTACATTTTTTAAGTCTTCAAATACCAAGTGGAGTTATGGAAATTATAGCCTACCAGTTTATTGAAAATTCACTTTTTGCCTACCTTTGCCCAGATAGCTGAAGAGAAGCCCAGAACGGGACTGAATGCCAAGATCACAAGTGTTAATTTCCAGCCTTTTGTAAAACCAACTATAAATCCAGTGAAAAATGTAGCCACTGACTGAAAGAACATCCCTATTTTTTCCCCTATTCCTTCATTAATCTTGGAGATGTCACTGGAAAAAAACAAATGATATCCAAACGAGTAAGAAAGCGTGGAAACCACAGCCATGAATTCTTTAGATACACCCACTTCATCAGTATTTCTTTATGTTTCTAACACCTGAAGATTAACATAGCTTCAAGTTTGCAGCCACGGAGCACTTGGGGCAGTACTCTCCAACATCTCTGTTTCTCAGGATCCATATAAATGACTGTATAGCATATAGAGGAGTTTAATGAGGTGAAATATCATTCTTTTGATGGAAGTATTACAACTGATAGTTAGCAACTAACTGTTATTTAATACTTACTCTACAATTCTAGAGTTCAATTCACCCACATCATTTACATCAAACCATCCAATCTCCTGTCTCATTACAGCATGAAAAAATTCGTGTCTGATTCTTTTTATTTGCCTGCCAGCAGCTAGTGTCCAGAATGAAACTTGAATGTAGGCAGCAAAAAGAACACAAGCTCCTATTCCAGAATAATAATACGCATATCTGAAAGGAAACAAAAAGGAGATTTACAGCTGAGTTATACTCCAAACAGGACTCAGAATCACACAGAATCACAGAACTGTCTAGGTTAGAAGAGACCTCAAGATCATCGAGTCCAACCTCTGACCTAACACTAACACGTCCTCCACGAAACCATATCGCTAAGTTCAACATCTAAACATCTTTTAAGACCTCCAGGGATGGTGACTCCACCACTTCCCTGGGCAGCCCATTCCAATGTCTAACAACCCTCTCGGTAAAGTTCTTAATATCCAACCTAAAACACTCCTGGTGCAACTTTAGCCCATTCCCCCTTGTCCTGTCACCAGGCACGTGGGAGAATAGACCAACCCCCACCTCACTACAGCCTCCTTTAACGTACTTATAGAGAGAGAGTGAGTACGCCAGTCCAAGCCATGACTCCTAGAGTTAGCTTATAATTCAGTTCCTTATATGAGCATTCAAAAGAACACAGAAGGCTCTTACAACTACCTGCCATTTCTCTTATATTTAATGAATATTTTAAAAGTTATTTCAGAATCAAATGTCAATTTTTATATACTACGTATTTATTATACCACTTTCAAAAATTAACACAAAAATTTTAATTTGAAAATTAATGGCTCAAAGTCCACAAAAACAAAGATAATAAAAACAGGCTTAGAATGACTTATTTACTCTTAAAAACACTTCCCACAATGAATGAAAATTAACAGTTGGATTTTAAAGATGCTTAAGCAATGTAAAAACAAAAGTTACTGTTGGGGATATCCACTTTCATTTAATTAAGTCAGGATTTGACTTCATTACTGAATTTTAATCGTTTGTATGCTATTATCATTTAATTGCTTTGTTTAATCTTATTTGAGGAATTTTAGCTTGGTTTTAAAATGTGTGTGCATTTCTAAGGAAAAATAATGAAATTAACATCTAGATACCATTTATGTAATCAAAACTAAATAAGGCTCCACATGTATAAAAAAAAAAAAGAAAAAGAAGAATAAAATAAAGAGGAAAGCTATCCTATGTACTTTGTTACAAATGATTGCCAAAGATGTTTTATTTGTGATTGCAATTAAAATTTATTGTGAATGCAATTAAAATATTATCATATTTAAACTGAAAAATATTAGTAATAAATTAATAAAATAAATAAATTAGTAATAAATAGCTTAATGAGTGCTGAATATTCTTAATCATTGCCAGCATAATAAAAGAAGCTACAAAAAGCAGCAAAACTGGGAGGAAGAAAACAGGTTCTGACATTTGTTTGAATGCGTAATTTATGACAACACACAAGAGATTTTAATTCTGGTCCAGAATCCCTATGAACTGTGGTTATTTCACAATATCATTGGTAAAAATTAAACAGAAAAATTAAAATATATTACATTGTGAATTACTTGTTTAATGGCAATTGTTGAGAAAGTTACATCTTAGATTTTGTCAGATTTTTTGCATAACAAATATGGCCATATTTACAGTTAGATTCCAGTACCAGAATTTAGCCTTTTTTTTTTTTTTTTAAATCAACAATTCCTAATTCTTATCCTGCATAGTGGGGTTCTTGTTTTGCAACAAGAGTAGAGTTTACTGTCTGTGATTACATGCTGCCTTCAAGGAGTAGGCCGTCACAGCTTATTTTTCAAAACAAACACCCTTCCTTGAGGTTGAACAAAAATATAAGATTTATTTTCCCCCTTTGGAAAGAGACATGACTAAAGAGGAGCTGGGGTTTAAAAAAAAAAAAAATTAGAGAACTGAAGCAGAAGGAAAACCCAAAAAGGGCAAAGAATTAAGAAAGAAGAGGTAGGGCATAAGGGCTGAGAAAGAAGGTAATGACCACAACCCCCCCAGCTGTAAGCCTAGAAATTGCACAGAGAATGAATGATACAATGAGGTCCTACAGCCCCTACTTGCAAATCATTGGTGCTTGACACCTTAGAAGACTGTGAAAAACACCATTGGACTAACACGAAACAGCTTGTCAGTAAGTTTACTCAGACCACCTGTTGCATATCAATCCTCATTTGAATTCTATCCAATAAAAAAACGTTAAAAATACATGAGCAAACTACTTGACCTAATTTATATGTTTGTGTTATGAGCTCTGAAAATGTATTAGGCATTATGTACAAAGTATTTCTTTTATCAATTTTAAGTTTGTTGTCTTTTATCTGATAGCCGCAAAGTGAATGAAAACTTTACTATTACCTGGTCAATTCTTCCTCCAACTCTCCAAGCAGAGCATAAGTAAAAATATCTGTAGAAAAATTCACTGACGTATGGTTTAAAAAAGAAAAAAATTCTGCAGAAAAAAAAAAAAAGAGAAAAGCATATTAGTTATTTTTATTAAAAGACATGATAATTTCTTTCCATAAAATCTTATCATCACCATGCTGAATGAAGATTAAGAGCTGTCAGCTACCTAGCACCTGACTATGTTTACAGAAGTTTAAGATATTCAGCACATTACAAAGTATTTTCTGAAGCCAGAAGTGAAAATTCTCCCTCTAACATTAGAAACAGAGAATAAATAAATAAATAAATAAAATAAAACAACTTCCCCCCCCCCAAAAAAAAACAAATGAACAAACACCAAAACCCTAGCTAAATTCAGCTACTGTACAGTAGCCTAAATTCCACATTTGAACTACAGTATTTTCTCTTGAATGTGTATTGATTTTAAGAATGCTTATATAAATATTACACTGGGTCCATAAAGCTCACCTTCTTAATAGTGCTCTGAAGTATTTTACAAATGTAGGTTCATAAATAACTAATGTTCAGAAAAATAACAAATATGGAATAAGGTACTTACAATTGTCATGGGTAAGCTTTTTTTTTTTTTTTTTTTTTTTCCTTTCAATTAATTCTTGTTGCCAGAGGTTAAAGATGTAATTAACTTGTATAGGGGATTGTCTACATGTGAAGCTAATCAGGACACGCAGTTCTGCAACGTGCATTTGGCACTTCAATCTCAGAATAAATGTCAGAATAAATTTGGTAACAAGGCCTTTATTTACATATTTTAGCTTACATATTTCTTCAAGAACTGCTTCTGATTTCAAAGCATAGCATTACACATTTTCTGCCTTCTCTTTTTCTTTTACCATTAGTCTTTCATCCATTTATTAAATTCCTCAACTCCAACTGTAATACTTCAAAGTTTTTCCTTTAAAACTGATACAGCAGTTAATTGGCAGCCTGTGTGGAACAGCACAGAAAACTGGTTGGAGGAAATGTGGTACTGGTCAAAATTACAGCCCTGTTGATTCTCACAGTAGGAAGTGATCCAGTGATGCATCTAACCCACAGGCTACAGGTAAACGTCTTTCGTGGGAACCCTCAACAGCCTGAGGTGAGCTGCTAGTCTGTCCTTTCTTTTTCCCAAATATACCTCACTTATTGTTGTATAAAAGACATATTTCACCAACACCAGCTAGGAGTATTTACCTGGATAAGTCATGTTTTCTGAAGTAATAAAACTATCTGTCATGTCACCAAAGACGATCATCATAACAGG